ATTCTCTGCGAAATGCTGCACGAGAGGAAACAGTCCTGGAAGTAAGCAGGTGTGTGGGAAAGAGACTGAGCTGCTGCTGCTGGACGAATGCATCCCTGACGTAGCTGACCACAATCTGGTGAGAACTCAGAGAAGCAAAGAGACTTAGATACTTCTCTCTTGGAGGGTGTGATTTGAATGTGTGGTGAGATCACACTGTACTAGAGAGCACTCCCACCACTTGAAAGGAAGGAAAAGAGGGACTGTCTCAGCAAGATTGAAAAAGAGATAATCAGCAACATCTATCCCTGTCTGACTTGAACTGGACTTTTACTTAATCTGGATACATGTCCAGAGACCCAGAAAAGGGTGCCCTGGGACTGGTAAGAGACTAACATCATATAAGTTAATCTGTTGTCTGCTGAGAACTGTTGTGCTTTCTTAAAGGGCCCCAACTTTGCCCGCTAATGTTTTTTTTTCCAACAGTCACTAGCCAGTGACTTAAAACTAGGACTGTTATAGCAAGGTAGGATTGTCGTTATATACCGTTTCTAGGTGAATGCAGTTTAATTCTGTTAATTACTGTTAGTCAAAATACTACAGGTGTTTAATCATATCTCTCAGAGTAATGTTGTGTCAGTAAGTGCTGGGTGAGTGAGAACAATTCAGCGGCACCTCTGGGAGTAGCACTACACACTAAAGTCCTTTCTTTAGCAACTCAGCTTACCCTGCTCTCAGCCCTTCAAGAGTCATGGCACCCTTGTAATCTTTAATGTAAACACACAGCAGGAGGTCCGAGAGAAGGAAGCAGAGTGAGCGGAGCTGCAAACATCTTAAACAACGTCAGTGAATCTGCTGTAAAATTTCAAGATGAATTTCTGCACAGTTTCTGCAGCTACAAAGATCAGTTAACACTTGTTTTGAATTTTAACAAAAATTATTACTCACGCATACTCAAGTGACCTTTTACTTATATCTGGGGGACCCACTGATAAAAATATCCATCCCCATGTCTCCTGGCTGGTGTAACAGGCTGTACCTCCACTTTACACTACTAAAAAAAGTGTATAACATTGTTAAAGAGCTGCTGGAAGGAGGGCAAGAGCACCTGTGGCGCAATTCCACTTCCACTTCCTGTCCTACTCTCTGCAGCAGCCTATTGTAAAGGAAAATCTATTATGATCTCTGGACAGTGGACAAGGAGGTACGGACAAAATGAAAAAATGACCCTGGCAACTAATGGGATAAGCAATTTCCTACTCTGTTCAAAGCAGTTCAGAGGAGCATGTCTGACTACAGGAGAGCTGGTGTGTGAGAGCCGTGGTCTGACTCCCCTATGTGCTGGTAAAGCTGGGTTTTTTAACCTTTGCTTCATTACTTTGCTGGTAAGTAGAGGTATGTTTATTGCTGTATGTGCAGGCTGAATGCATAGCAGGTATAAAAAAGGGTTGATTTGGGCTAAAAATAATACTTATTTGAATGTGATATTGTTTCAGGTTACTAATTTACACAGCACCAAAATATTTTTATATACTTTACAAAAAGCAATACACCATTGGAGAAATACATTCAAAGCAGTATCCACTTAATGTTTGTAGAACAGTCATAAAAATACGCATACCTTCATTTAAACTAAAAAAGAGCAGAAAATTCGAATACATTCTAGGTACATGCTGATTAGTTGCCAATTAGGCTGATTTAGAATCTAGCAGATGATTGCCCTGTGTCTGTCATTGTGTGACACCTGATAGACAGATGTTCAGTTAATACAAAATCAGACTGACTTCTGTTTTGTAAAAGAATTAGAATTCAGAACATAAATCAAAATGTGTGAACTAATGAGAGATAAATAAATTGACTTGTTCAAGGTTTTAACAGCTCTTTCAGCATGCATGACTTATTAGAAAATATATCTCAACCGACTGTCTAAGAAATGTATTTATTCAGAAACTAACAATAATCCTGGGGCTAAATTAACACATATGAATGAATACATGCAATGTTTTGGCAGCAAACCTAAAGCAAATGTGTTATTTGAAAAATAAAATGAATAAAAATGTTTTTGCCTATCAGTCTGACCGCTAAACATAACAGCCAAATACTAACGCTGGCCAACAGGTATGCTGCTTCTCTTATTCAATTACTGTCAAAATTTCAGATACAGCAACAAAATCTTTGTCAACTGTTTTGATTTATATTTGAGCTGCGAGAGTTATCATACTCAAGAACATTAAAAAATGCATTATAAATAGAGATTCTGAACAATGTAATTCAGAGTCACCCAGTTTGCCTAAGAATTATGTGACTTGCTGGGATGCCTAAATCCACTCTATACCTGAACAACATAGCACTGCTTTTCCAATGTATCTTACATTGCTATATACAACTCTCCATGGTGTGCATCTAGCAGATAGGAGATCACTCCATTCCCTGTATGTTTTCTAACCTTGTGTTTAATCTTCTTGAGTGTACAGCTTCACAGATTCCCATTGGCCTGTTCACCCCAATGTTATTATAACTTGAAGGGGCATTGCAATTTAACTCAAAATTCTATAAAAATGTGCACACAATAGTATCAGCGCTACAATGCATTCAAGAGAAAAAATCAGATTTCTCCTTGTATCCTGAAGCCTAACCCTATCAGAAGCTTGTTTGGGCATTTGCATCCAGATCATCCTCACATAACAAAACAGGTATAAAATGAATGTAATCTTGAACATGAGGGCCACGGAGAATTTGTGATAAACTTGATCAGAATGCCTATCACCAGCTGCACTTCACAAACATTTCTTGCCAACCAGCCTACAACATTTGTGAATAATGAACTAGGTAAATGAACCACTATACAAGTAATTGAATAAGTTCTAGCTGCCATGACCACATTGTTAAAGCCGTATTATAGGAGAAGTAGGGTTAAAGCTCTTTTGACCCTATGTCTCCCATTGGTCACAGGATTGAACTTAGTTCTGCACTCTTGTGACCCACTAAACCCTGCTGTCGGCTGACCTAACTGAGGCATTCAGGCTCTGGAGTTATCCTGACTTTAATGTCGGGATCCACCCTGATTCCTGACTGGCAGCTGGCTCAGCCTCTTGGCATGCTGAGCCAGTGGTTTCCACCCCCCACACAGCCCAGTGCTCCAGTGAGTGCTGCAGGGGCAGAGCAGAGAGCCAGGGACTGATGGTCACTGGCTCTATCTGCTCACTGAAGACTGAGAACTGAGCGACCAGCTTGTAAAAAAAAAAAAAATCTTGTAAGGGTTGCTGCCTCCAACGTATTATGTCAGCAGCAGCATTGGTATGGAAACAAACGTCTGGCTGCTATAACTTCTCACTCCCAGCCACTAGCTTTTTTTTTGGAAGTGATCCAGTCTTATCTACATGTATAGTAATGTTAGCACCCTTGTGCTAGCAATATCGTTATGTTAAAAGAAAAACATTTTTTTCAATGTACACACAAATACAAATTCAAAATGTGTGCATCGGGTCTGCATTAATATGGAAACTATGTTTGCACTACAATTATTAGATACCAATGCACACGCTGTAGGGCCATCATTCTATGTGCACTGTGAATTGTTTTCACCAACAGGTCTCAGGTTGTTTTAGTAGTGTTGCATTGTTGTACATCGCAGTATTTGCATACAATATTTTTTGCGTGAACATACCACTACAGTTAGGAATTTCTGATTGTTTGATTGGTGTCATATAGCATTTATGTACTTGCAAGCTTAAAGTTTAAGGTAATTAGGAATTGCAATGTGTGCACAGACGTTTTTTTTTTTGTTGTGTGTGTGTGATTCTATCCTATTAGGTATCTACTTACTCAATGAAACCTCATCTTTTATATTTTCCCAAACAATTGGGTATTATATTGTGTTTGTGTGCACTAAAATTAATTTGAGTGCATTTTTTTCCTAAAAACACAGATTCGATAAACAACAGCACAATTATTGTATGATACAAGAAATTGCAACTGCAACAACTTTATTCTATAAAGTCTTCTTTTAGAAAATATATAATGTTTTGGGGGACTTAATGTTTCATGTATGAAAAATTTTTATTTTAGCATGTGTACACAAACTGAAAAAGAAAAAAGCTATGGCAGCAAAGGGGTTAAGCCGTTTCTTATGCCATTCAAAGCGAAAAAAAATAATTTTCAGTTTAGATATTTTTTTTCAAACATATGCACATGAGCTGCAAGAGCTTTTTAAAGTGTCACTGTCACAACGGGAGCATGGGGCTGCCATTGTTGTCCTTCTAAAGTAAAACTAGTTGCTTACCTGTGTCTGATGTACATTCTTTTAAATCACAGACCCTGAACATGCATGCTCTAAATGGTGCTGAGAAAAGTATCAGAATGTCTAATATCTATAGTTATTAGTGGTCGCTGATTCAGAAAGTCAGATCAACTAACATTATCAAATGCAGAGGTCATCAATGGCAGCCTCCATAATCCTCATATGACCCTCTAGTCCAGGGGTCCTCAAACTACAGCCCGCGGGCCACATGCAGCCCACCAAGGCCATATATCCAGCCTGCCGGCAGGGGCGTATTTTCTGCGAGGAAGGGACACTAGGTACAGGGGCGGGCAGGGGGCTGCTGTACCTTATCTGGCTCCGGTCTCCGTCCCACGATGATCCAGTCCAGGAAGCGCTGCTCCTTCATTCACTCCGGCCACTCCCCCACTCCTGCCACTCGGCTCTGCCTCCTCACCGGTGATTGGGTGCCAGAACTGTACAGTAGCTCAGGAAAGGCACACAGGCGGCCAATCACATGTGAGGAGGTGGAGCCGAGAGGCCCCGCAAACATCGAGTGAGGGAGAGTGAAGAAGGACAGCTGACAGGTAAGTGTGCTGTGCTGATGGTGCTGCTGCAACCAGGCATGCTGGCTGCAGCAGCACCATGCTGGAACAGGGGTCAGCAAGTTAAGTGTCATTGGTGTCAGTGGGAGGAATAGTGCCCCATCATTGGTGTCACTGATACTAATGATGGGGCATTATTCCTCCCACTGACACCAATGATGGGGCATTATTCCTCCCACTGACACCAATGATGGGGCACTATTCCTCCCCCCACTCACACCAACGATGGGGCACTATTCCTCCCCCCACTGACACCAACGATGGGGCACTATTCCTCCCCCCACTGACACCAACAATGGGGCACTATTCCTCCCCCCCACTGACACCAATGATGGGGCACTATTCCTCCCCCCCACTGACACCAACGATGGAACACTATTCCTTCCCCCACTGACACCAATGATGGGGTACTATTCCTCCTACTGACATCAATGTTGGGACACTATCCCCCCCCACTGACACCAATGATGGGGCACTATTCCCCCCCACTGATACCAATGACGTACTATTCCTCCCACTGACACCAAAGATGGGGTACTATTCTTCCCACTGACACCAATGATGGGAAACCATTCCTCCCACTGACACCAATGATGGGACACTATTCCTCCCACTGACACCAATGTTGGGACACTATCCCCTTCTCCCACTGACATCAATGATGGGGCACTACCCCCCCCCACACTGACACCAACGATGGGGCACTATTCCTCCCCCCACTGACACCAACGATCGGGCACTATTCCTCCCCCCACTGACACTAATGATGAGGCACTATTCCTCCCACTGACACCAATGATGGGGCACGATTCTTCCCACTGACACCAATGATGAGGCACTATTCCTCCCACTAATACCAAAGATGGGGCACTATTCTTCCCACTGACACCAATGATGGGAAACTATTCCTCCCACTGACACCAATGATGGGGCACTATTCCTCCCACTGACACTAATGATGGGGCACGATTCTTCCCACTGACACCAATGATGGGGCACTATTCCTCCCACTGACACCAATGATGGGGCACTATTTTGCTCCATAAGACACACTTGGGGGGAAATGTCTGTGCGTGTTATGGAGCGGCTGGCCCAGTATTCCCGCCGCCGTTGTATGTCCGCAGTCTCTGGTCATCTCCTGTACTGTGTCTGCATTTGTTCATAGTTTTTTTTTTTTTTTTTAAACTATAATCCGGCCCTCCAATGGTCTGAGGGACAGTGAACTGGCCCCCTGTTTAAAAAGTTTGAGGACCCCTGCTCTAGTCCCTTTAATTTACAGAATTCCTGCTGCCTTCACTGCAAACTGTATGACAAACTCAGCACTATCCTCCTCCAACTCAGAGCAATTGTATGGATCCAAATAAAAATAATATTTAGAACTAGAACTTCCAAATGCATATTGAGTGTTTGCTGGATATTACTGTATTATGAAGTTAGTACTGTGCCATCTATATTCCTTTGAGTATATGTCTGATTTTACTATGGATTTCACAGGTTTGGTATGCTTTGTAAGTGGTTAATAAGGGAGGCTTTACACTTCAGCAATGTGACATCTACAAGCTGAGCTTCAGAAACATGCAGGTATGATGTTTTTTATGGCATTTCTGTTATATTACCTGTAAATTACTTTTCAATATTTTGTTAAAACCCTGTAAGACCTCATGCATGTTATCAGTTAAGTTTACTATATAGAATATATCTGTTAAAATCTATGTCTCTTGAGCTATGATATTGATATTATTAGGTTAATAGAAACTGCTGATTAACGGAACGTAATTTGGCACTGTTTCACAGAAGCATTTCTCTTGAATATTTTACAGACATGCGCACTCTTGCCACTTGAATCCTTTGGACCAGAGGTAATGCTGCTCATTTATTCACAATTGTGTTTCTTCAGTTTGTGTGTTTCATGTTAATAAACAGTAGGTCTATTTGTTTTCAGAATAAGTACATATGTTCAGCAGCATGTACTACTCACTGATTTACTAAAACTGGGGAGTGCAAAATCTGGTACAGCTGAGCATGGTAGCCAATCACCTTTTAACTTCAGCTTGTTCAATTAGGCTTTGATAAAAAAAAAAACCTGGAAGCTGATTGGTTTCTAAGCAGAGCTGCACCAGATTTTGCACTCTCCAGTTTTAGTAAATCAACCTCTATGTATTACTAGGTGGTGTTTTTTATAGGGTTTCCATGCTATCATTAGACAGATTTATGTCGGGGGAAGAGGTTGGCATATTACAAGTATAGAATTCCGTTATTGTATTTTAAAAAGACTGAACTAAGATGTTTATTTTTTACTGGCATCCATTTAACAACAATTCCATTAGGTAAAGTACCTAATATTACTCACATCTTAATGACATGAAATGTCAGAAGCCTTGGAACTCAATGTAGATAAACTGTAGTATTTATGAGGAGTGTTCAAGTCAAACACTTGTAGCAACCTCCTAGTTAGATAGGGGGAGATAGCTGATTTTTATTTTTAGTTAGGAAGGCTGAGTAGCAGCCTGGACAATAGTTAGCTGGGTCAAATTTTGGTCAGGGCTGAGAGGCTCTGCAAATCAGTTCCTTGATACCTCCCCCTGCTCTAGAATCTTGAAGATTCTAGAAGCAATGGGCGGGGTGAGCAGGAGCTGGTCTGCACTCTTAGGGGATCCTGACCAATCCCCAAGCAGGAGGCTTGGCATGCGATCAGGACAGCCCTTAAATTTGACTAAGCCTGCTCAGCAACAGGAGAGTTCAAGTGGAAGATGTGAGGAAGCGGAGATGCAGAAGCCTAGGAGGGGACCCAGTGGGAATGGGTTTACCTACAGGCAGGGCACTGGAAAGGAGGATCACTCAGCCTCACCAGTCCCCAGAATGAGGACCACCTGTAGAGCCAGGAAAAAAGCCAGCCCAGCAGAAGGCCTGAAGGCAGCCACCTACTTAAATCTGAGTGAGTAGTCCTAGACCCCCTGGGCCAGTTAAGGGAAAAAAGAGCTCCTGGTTGGAAACCTGATTAGCTCCTTACCCAGGACTGTTTCATTTAAAGCAGCAAGCATTGTATTCCCTTGCCAAGAGATTTCCTCAGGCAGCTGGATAAGAAGAGGATTATCTGGGGTCTGGGGTGGTACACCAGGAGAGATTGGAGAGCTCTCCAAGAAGAGTTTCTGCTGTGTATACATAGTTGCTAAGGATTTTGTCCTCAGTTTGCAGTTCCATTAAGCATCCCAAACACCCCTTACCCCATCAACCCCTTAATAAAACATAAAAACAAGTTCAAGGACTGTGACTCTGAATGCAAGTCTGAGAAAATGCGTGTTGCCTGGCTATGCAGGACTACAGGGAGACCCAAATCTTCATCAAATCCTATGGGGGTAGTGCTACACACTTATCCCAGTGTTTAACTAATGCCTGAAAAGCTTCAGCATAGAAAGATTTGTCAGTATGCTTGAAAAATCCTAGGACAGCCTGCTTCAGTTAGTTATTGGTGCTGAAATGAAAGATTTGTCTCTTGTACAATTTCAAGACAGGTTATCCAGGATCAATTGTTCCACGCGCTGAATATTCACAGGAATGACTGCTGTGGACTGGGAACTACCACGGCCGAGATCGTCACTGACGGACGTACGGCCATCTTTGAGACATTTACACCATTCAAATGTCTTACGGCGGCTGAGGATCTCATCACCGTACTGTGTTTGTCTTCCGTAGATATCTGTGGGTTTTATGCCTCTGTTTACAAAAAACTCCACCACCACACGCTGTTTCATGCATGCAATAACACTGTTGTCTGCCATCTTGATTAATGGTCTGTGGACTGGAACGCACCATATGCACCGCCTATAAGTAATAGGACACACTTTTACCTGTAAAACGAGTCCCAGTTTGACTTGAACGCTCCTTGTATTTTCTCCTAAGATTGAAACCAGTCACAGTCTGTCTTTTAGATAAATATCTTTAGAAAACTAAATAGTAGGCCTTGTAGAAATTACTAATTCAATGGTCATGTCATTCATGGCAAACATCCATCTCCAGTGGAGTTTGTACTTGAATCTGCAAATTTATGTATTTCCATGGGGTATTTTCATTGCCATGGGAAATATATAAAGCCTAGTTTGATCCAGAGGGTCAGTCCAGTTTTATAGTAACAGAAATGTATTCTATATAATATACACTCTTTTTGTAAACCCCTCCAGCAAATTTGATGATTTCCAGCTCAGTATTTATAACACAGCATACTACTGTATGCGGCAATAGTTTTAATACATTAAAGAACTCAGAATTGGATGCATTTCATAATGACCCCTCTATTGTACATATGCTAACAGGTATAACATATGCTCATTTTACGGAGGTGGTAGGATCAATTTATTTTTGATGTTTCTAACACAGGATATAGAATACTTCTGTTTCTCCTCAAGAAATAATTCCTTATCTAGATTATATTATCTGGATTATATTTTTGCTTCTTCCTACATACCTCTACTAAAAACATAAGATAGCATCTTTGCTCGCTTTATCTATGGGCATTCTTCTTTACTTCTAGAACCCTCCACTACTAGAGGGAGGTTTAGTACATGTGTACATACTTGTGAAGTCTGACCATCTTATACAAGAAAGCATTTGTAAAGGTATTGTTTTATTAAAATACCATATCCTGCTCACAGGATTTGATTGAAAGCAGCTGCAGCCAATGGTTCCCCTGCTGCCTCTGTGAGCAGAGAGCCACTGCAGATGGGCACAGCACTGGATTGAGAAAGAACTCGGGGAAGTGGGGAAGGCATTAAGGTAAAAAATGTCAAAGCAACAATTGCGGTGCAGTGATCCTGCCAAACCGCATCACACACCAGCCGCTACATTATAACACAGTGGCTAGTGTGAATGGACTCTAAGAGCAGGACAGGGATACAGCTAGCATTAACTGCTACAGGGCGGCAGGAGTGCACAAAATCACGTATATATATACGTGATTTTGCATTTCCGGGTAGGGGGCGCACGCCCCCTACAGTTCTCTCCCCTGTCAGCTCCAACACACTGCTTTGTATGGCTCTGCATAGCAGACATTTGCATAGCATAGCAGACCCATACAAAGCAGTGTGCTTACAGTTGAAAACACACAGCACATAGTTAACCCTTTGATCGCCCCACATGTTAACCCCTTCCTGCCCAGTGCCATTAGTACAGTGTCAGTGCTTTTTATTAGCACTGATCACTGTATTGGTGTCACTGGGGATGTCAGTGAAACCAAGTCAGTTCCCCCCCAGTGTCAGAATGCCCACCGCAGTCCCGCGATAAGTCGCTGATCACCACCAATGCTACTAACAAACAAAAATGTATTAATTTACACGTATTGGGATTTTTTTATAGCAAAGACATGTAGCAGACTGCATTTTGGCTTACATTTATGACAAAATTTGATTTTTAAATTTTTTTACTGGACATGTTTAATAGCAAAAAGTCAAAAAAATTGTTTTTTTCTCAAAAGTGTTAGCTTTTTTTTTTAAAGTGAAAAAATAAAAACCGCACAGGTGATCAAATACCACCGAAAGAAAGGTCTATTCGTGGGAAAAAAACAACGTAAATTTCATTTGGGTGCAGCATTGCATGACCACGCAATTGTCAGTTAAAGTAAAGCAGCGTCGTAATGCAAAAAATGGACAGGTTAGGAAGGGGGGTAAATCCTCTGGAGGGTAAGTGGTTAAAGAGATTCTACATATAAGAAATTAAGTTGGTTAATTTAAATTCTTAAA